CACACTGGTAACCAGGAACAGGGCTTTTGTATTTATTGGACTGTAGCCCCCAGAATTCACCAGGAATTCCTCCAGCCAAAATTCATAATTAGCCAAGAAATCAGTCCTCACAGGAGCACTGATTTCTCAAAGGCAAGGAACAAAGGCCCTGTCAGCCATTTTGTTCCTGTGAAGATGTAGGCAATGGGTGGCAATGGCTAAGTTCTGTAGAAGGTGCAAGGGTTAGGAGAATAGTGGAGTTTTTTTGCTGTTGTTTGTTTTTGAGAGAGGTTCAGAACCTAATGGGCAGAAGTCTGAAAAAATAAAAAGTCCAATGCCTATTGGTAACCTGTTCATAATGTGCAAACACACATATGTACCTTATAACTTAATCTAGTATTTTCTATGGTGTGGCTGAGGCCCTACTCTATAACTTCAATCAGAAGTTAACCATACTCTTACCCAGAAAGTTCTTATCTACAGTAACCTCAAGCTCCTCCTGCTCAAAAGAGTCAACCAGCACAAAGACCGGTTAATATTTTATAGAGCACAGTACAGTATGGCATTTGAAATTATGTCAGCTTAATTTGTGAGTTTTCCACATTCATTCCCAAACCATTTAGTGTTCTATTAGAAAAAAGGCAGAGAACCAAGATTACTATTCTAACTGGCTGGCTGGACAGCTAAATGGAGTGGGTTGGAGTAATGGCCAGAGGTTCAGCTCCCACTGTGCCTCTAGGAAAAAGCCGTCTTGTATGGCCTCAGGCAGGCTGCACTGTCCCAGAGAGCCACCAGAAGGGCAGATTTGTAAACTACCTGCTTACTCCAATCTAGAAAAAGCTGGGGAAAGTTACCATAAATCAGAACTAACAACATGTGATTAATTAATAGATCTAACTTTAATAGTCTTTTACTAACCATCTATTCTTTTATTAAAACTGGGGTTTCAAAACAATTCCTAATCCCTATGTAATCAAGCAGGTAACATCTTCTAGCTAGTGCACTATAGATGATTCTATGGACTGGTGATCTAGCAACATCTGCATATTTTATTTGTCAGACTCTTAAAAACATGAGTTTGGTTCTTTTTATAGACCAACAACACTAATAAACATCCCTATATATTTTCCTCACCTCTGTAACTCTAAGCACAAATATTTCATGATCAATATTTCTGTTTCAATTTCCTTGTATTCATGTTTTACTGCAGCCTGAAATTTTAATAAGTTGTTCTTGGGTCTGTCCAATAACACCAACATCATTGGTTGGCATGTCCTCAAGGAAGGCAAAGTGGTCTGTCAAATAAGCTATAATATTTACAAACCAGCAATGTTACACTATATACAATCAGCACATTTTTATCCAGCATCTCCTAAATGGCTACTTCAACCAGTATTTTGTTTATTTCCATATGTCTGACAAAGTGGATTTGTCCATGAAAGCTCAAAGTAAAATAGTCATTAAGGTGCCATGTTCTTGTCTTTTTTTTTCCTTGATAGGCTTGAACAGACTAACAAAGCTACATCTTTCAAAACTACTACTATATATGTGTATGTCTGGAAACATGTATGGATCAAGTCCCACAAACCTCAGCATGACAGAATTCATGTGTGCATGTGCAAAAGAAAGAAAATAGTCCCCAAAATCATGCCCAAATATATGGGCCAGGCTCTCTTGCTTAAAGCTACAGTAGTTCCCAAATGAAGACTGTAGAAATGTAGCACTAGTTTTGAGGTGACAGTTTCATGTTCAGATAGATGTTATTGCCTACCCCAGTTTTTGAACTGGGATTACATTGCTTTTTTTAAAAAGAAAAATGAGACTAGGTAGTGACTCTAATATATCTTTAGGACTGCTGGGATGAGGATACATACAATGGCTGACCCCTCATTTTTGAACATACAGAAACCGTTATTTGAAACTGTCTCTTTCTATGGGCAGTTACAAAGATGCCCTGTTAAGTAGCCAGCACAAGTAGCCAGAAACTAGACAGGTTTTGTATTAATTGAGTGACATATTGATTTCCAAGTGGTTGGTATATTACCTTAAAAACAAACTCAGTACAAGCCAAACTGGGTAGCTTTATGTAATTCAGTGAGGGTTCTCACAACAAGTGATCCTAGGCTTCCAAACCATCAGAAACAAAAATGCCCTTTCATGCCACAAAGAGAAACCACATTTCTGTAAATCAGTGACCTGAAGCAAGATTTCTGAGACCAGCTGTCTCCTCCTCCACTACATACAAACACCTAGAGTGGTCGAAATGACTAGATAGGTGGGGTATAAATACAATGAACAAACAAACAAACAAACAAACAAACAAACAAATAAATGTCATCACTAGAGGAAGGATTTCTATGACATGTCACAATTTCTCTGGAACCTACATTTGAACCCATAATAAAGTTCAAACATGTTTATGAGTAATCTGATCTTTTTCACCAGATTACTCATAAACATGTTCAATCCCACCCATAAACGCAAACATGGGTCACAGGAAAAAAATATGACATGTCACAGAAATCCTCCCCCAGTCATAACATACCCTACAAACATTTTTACATAATTCAGAAGAAAATACCAAGCCCAAAGAGCGTCAGAATAACCAAAATCTTTTTCAGTCCTTTCCTTCAAACAGGCACTTAACTGAAAACCTGCACTGCCGTTCTGGTAAGAACAAGAGGTCCCCCTTTAAAGAAAAACTTGTAAACTACTGTAAGAACTGTTGAAAAGCAGCACACACATGAAAAAATAAAAAATTAATCCTGCTCCCGCTGGCTCTTGACATAATGCAGGAATTTCAAAAATATGCTCAAAGCACAGCAAGTAGTTAAGGACGATCTCCAACTCCTTCCATGAAGCAAGGTCAGTACAAGCAGGATAGAGATTCCCTTGTCCCTAATGCTGAAACTGTCATGCTTAGGATGTTCAGTACTTCTGCTCTCAAACCCTGTATTTACATATGAAATATATTGAGTTTCATAACAAAATTGCAGCACAGTTATGTTAATTTATACATCTGGCTAACCAGCTTACCTTACATGACTGAAATGTAGTCAGACATATTACATTTGACATGAAGTTGAAACCTAGGAAGAATTTCATTCGAGTTTAATGACATGCCATTCTTTCTAACATTGGTGTATACAGTTAGAAAGTCTTCCTACATACTAAATGTTTTCAAAATAATTTTAGTAATTTGAATTGTTAATATTCACTAACGAAACTTGGTAAAGGGCAACCTTACATACCCTGAAAACCCCATTATGGTTATCAACATTCCAATGTGACTTGACAGCATGTAATGCACAAAAAAGTTGGTACATCTCATTAAGAGCACAAACTATCATATACTAGATTCCTAAGATTAATCCTTTTGGTTTTATCATTTTGGTTACATGTAGAGTGGGACAACTGTAAAACAGTGTCAGATACTACAAAAAGTTTCTACAAACCCAACCGTGCTGTACACAGCCTATCTTGTAATGGTCTGGTTAACAAATTAGCATGTACTTGAACATACAACTGCAGTACAGATGATTTATGTGACAATAATCACAAAGTAAAATTGAAATGATCTTGATAGCATTAGAAACTCTGTTTCTTCATGCTTAGATTATATATCCTACCCCAAATAAAATTAATGATTAATGGTTACAGTTTTACATCCACTCACCAAACGTAATCTTAGTTTAGTATTACAACTACATTATTTACAAAGCACAAAAAACTTGACTTGTGCAAGCATTTCAGGCATCAACAACTGCAATATGGAACACATAATGTATTTCTATAAACACTGCTCTACTGCATGAATAACAGCCAAGGGGATGTGTATGTGCCTGAGCATTCACATGCTCAGTATTAAAGTTCTGATGATCCAAGTAGTAGAAAAGCTCTGATCACCAGCATAGCTTATTTTGGTACTGAATTTATGTGTTTGTTGACATTTTTGAACTTATGTGCAGTAGATCTAAAAATCCAACGATTCTCTGTATTTCTTATTTCAATGCTGATTCACCACACACTGTAACACGGAAAGCAATTTGGCATGATTGAAACTATGATTCTGAAAAGTATCACAAAATCAGCAATTTCTCAGACTGCACTATATCCCTAATTGACTAAGACCATAATTTCTATGATTTATGCTCCTGGACTCCAAAATTTTATCACTGCCAGTTAAGCTTTTACTGTAAATAAAATAAAAAAGTAACAGGGAATATCAAAATAACTTACTTCCACTGCTGCCAAGGCAAAAATTCAAACAACAAAATCAACTGTCAGTATTAATACAGGCTCATTATTAGGACTCCCTTCAAGTATTTTAAAGACTGCATGCTACAGCTGTGAATGGCAGACTGACAAGAGAGTACAGTAATTGGTTCTTGTGATCAATAGGATCTTACTTCACTGTCTTCCTAACTTCACTATTATGATTTTTTTCTTCTATGAAGTGGAATATTAACTTACAAGGGGTATCCTTTCAATCACTGCAGCAGACAGCCTGTGTAGCACAACCACAGAATTAATTAGCTGTATGATGAAACTGATAGAAAAGCTATTGATTTCTGCAAGCTTGCTTGGCTTCTCAATATTCAGTGTGGGTGTGTGCTTAAAAACATGAGGCTAAGGCTGAACTGATGTGGCCCTTCAGTTTAGGTCTGGATTTGCTCAACTGAATATTTGTCATTAAGCCTGCTCATTATGAAGCAAGTCCCACTAAATTCATTTGGGTCTGGTCTCAAACAAACATAAGCTAACAGCCGTAAAGAATCTGAGAAACTATTCTGGGCTATCTCCAAAGCCCTCTCCCCTCATGTGCCACTGACCCACAATTTCTGAATGTCGACTTGTAAACTGCCCTGAAAGACCGTCCTCGGCCATAGGTTTGCTTAGGGGCCTCAAATCAGGAAACCAATGCGTACAGTAGAGCCAGTTAAATTTAAGCCGCAAACTTTCTGCGGCAGATGCCCCACAGTGGTAGGTGTCGGAAAGGGGGAGAGAAAGGGATCACTCACTTTCGTCCTGCCGTTGATTTTGTAGTTGCCCAGCTTGCCATTGCAGTGGCGAATGAGATCGTCCATACTGTTCATGAGCTTTCCGATGGTTTTGCACCCGGGCTCCTTGCCTTCCACCCAGGTGATTTTGTCGCCGCGGATGTCCCTGGAGGAGTCGCTCTTCTGGCTGACGAGCTGCCCGTCGGTGAAGCGTCCGGTGTGGTGCAAAGCTCGCACCTCCTGCTCGATCTGCCCGCCCAGCTCCTTCCCCAGGAATTCGTCCACCACGCAGATGCCATGCTTGTTCATGCAGGGCACGATGTACTCGAGGGCCAGCCGCTGAGGCACCCGCGACTTCATCTGCCCATTCGGACGCAAGGACGCCTCTCCGGTCAAGTTGGATTTATCCCGGTAGAGGAGCCCCGCCTCCCTGGCGGGAGCTGCCGCAGCCACCGCGGCTTCCTTCTCCTCCCCTTCCCGCTCTCGGGCCTCTGGCGCCACTTTGGCAACGTGGTTATTCGTTACCGCGCTCTCCTCCGAGTTGGTGCCGGCCTGGGCCTTGGCAGGCTGGGACGTTACCTTCTTGGTTGCGGTCGTGGTCGCTGCCCCGGCCGCCGCTCCTCCGTCTCCTCCTCCTCCTCCCCCTGCGGCATGGGGGCGGATGTGGCTGTGGCCTTGGTGGTCGCCGCCGCCGCCGCCGCCACTGCGGTGCTCGGCAGCGCCCCCTCCGGCGGCTGAGGCGCCGCTCCCGCTTCCCCGGCAGATGAGCTTGTGCTTCTTCCAGTCTTGGCGCTGGTGCTCCTTGCTACAGTAGAAGGAGCTGCGGCAGCGCCCGCAACGCAGCAGGTTCTCCATCTTCCCGCACAGCTCGCAGTACTGCCGGTCCCGCTCGCTGTTGGCGTTGTTGTTGTTGCCGCCGCCTCCACCACTCCCACCGCCACCGCCGCCGCCACTTTGGCCGGCTCCCGCGCCGCCGTTGGTAATGCCGCCACTCCCACCGCTGTCATTGGCCATGTTGCCGCGTCCCCTTCTTCCGCGTCCCCCGGATCCTCAGCGGCCTTAGGCAGGGCAAGAGGCGAGTGGCTCACTTCATCATGGCCGCCCCCCGTCAACGCTGCGCTGCGGCCCCCGCTGCCTCGCCCGCCCGCCTCCCGCGCTCCGCGTAGTGGGCGGACGACAGCTGCCAAATCCTGCCGCCGCCTCAGAGATTCACTTCTTTTGCCGCCGTCGCCCCCCCATAGCCGCCTCGGTGGCCGAGAGGGGAAGGGAAGC